GGAGGGGATGGGGGGGGGCTCGGGCCGAGCCGGTGTCGCAGCGTTTGGGCTCCGGCTGGAAACAACGCGCGCGCGTCCGTTCCCACCCCCCCGACACCGCCGGGACCCCTCCCCAAACCGGGACCCCTCCCCAAACTGGGACCCCCATCCCAAACCGGGACCCCCATCCCAAACCGGGACCTCCCCCCCAAATCTGGGACCCCTCCCCAAACCGTGACCCCTCCCCAAATCAGGATTGGGGTGGGACCCCCTCCCCAAACGGGGACCTCCTCCCCAAATCTGGGACCCCTCCCCAAATCTGGGACCCCCTCCCCAAACCGGGACCCCCATCCCAAACCGGGGACCCCTCCCCAAAATCCGGGAGCACCCCCCGAGAGCCGCGATGGGGGGGGGAGGGGCTGGTCCCTGTTTTTGGGGAGGGGTCTCCGGGATTTGGGGGTCCCGGGGACGCTTTGGGGACAGCGGGACGGGGGCGGTCCCTGGCCCCGGGGTCCCGAACACCCCCCGAGACCCCCGGGGTTCCCCCATTTCCCCCGGTTTCCCCCATTTTTCCCTTTTCCCCCCATTTTTCCCGGTTTTCCAAAAATCCCCAAATATCCGCGGTTTTCCCCAATTCCAGGGCGCGCTCAGCCGCGGGTCCCCAGCCCCCCCAAACCCCGGATTTTCCCATTTTTCCCGTTTTTCCGCACTCCGGGACGCTCGTTCGGGGTCCCCAGCCCCCCCAAACCCCGGATTTTCCCATTTTCCCTTTTATTTCCCTCAGTCCGGGGATCCCCAAAATCAGCCCGGGAACACCCGGGAGTCCCAGAACCCCCCCAGAACCCCCCCAGATCCCCTCCAGGGCCCCCCGGGCTCACTCCGGGGGTCTCCGGGGGGAATTTTGAGGGAAAAACCGGGAAAAACCTCCCCAAAAAGAGGCGAAAAGCGGCGAACGAACGGCGGCAAATCCCGCGAGATTTCGGCACCGCGCGAGAGTTGGCGGGGGCCGCCAGGGGGCGCCCTCGCGGCCGCCGCTTCCCGCCAAAAGCGGCCCTGAGGGGAAAGGGGCGGGGCCAAACCGGAGCGGGCGGGGCCAACCGGGCTCGGTGTTACCGGGGGCGGCCGCCGGAAGTTGAGCGGGCTGGAAGTGACGTGGGGGACCGGGGGGGGGGGGCCAACAGGGACGGAAAGCGGCGAAAAGTGACGGAAAGCGGCTAAAAGTGACCCGAAAGGGGCGAGGAGTAACGGGAAAGCTCCGAGCGTGCGAACGGCGGCCGAAAACGGCGACCGGCGACGGAAAGCTCCGAGCGCTGCCGGAAAGCGCCGAACCGCGGCGGAAAGCGGCGGAAAGGCACGAGGCGTGAGGGAAAGCGGCGAGCGCTGACGGAAAAAGCCGAGCGGCGCCGGAAAGCGGCGGAAAAGCGCGAAGCGTGACGGAAAAGGCCGAGCTCCGGCGGAAAGGCGCCGAACGCCGGCGGAAAGCGCCGAGCGCGGCCCGAGCGGCGCCGGAAGTGGCCGAGCGCGGCGGCCGGAAGTGGCCGAGCGCAGACGAGCGCGGACGGAGGCGCCGCGGCCTGAGCGGGGCCGGGAGGGAGCGGGAGGCACCGGGAGGGGCCGGGAGGCGCCGGGAGGGCTCCGGGAGCGCCGCGCCGCGCCCGCCGCCATGTCCGACTTCGACGAGTTCGAGCGGCAGCTGAACGAGAACAAACAAGGTACCGGCGGCCGCGCCCCGCCCCCCCCTCACGGGGACCCCCATTTTGAGTGGGGGGAGGGGGGAGCCCTCAGGGAGAGACCCCTCCCCCACCTCCTGTGGGGGGGCTTCCCCTCCCTCACACCACCCCCCCCCTCAATTCGGGGGTCCCCCCGGTTTGGAGCCCCCCGGAATTTGGGGAGGGGGCGCGGCGCCCTCGTTTTAATTTTGGGGGGTCTGGGGGCTCCCCTCAGAACCCCCGGGGGGAGGGGGCGGCCCCGGTTTGGGGGTCCCGGGCCGGTTTGGGGGTCCCGGGCCGGTTTGGGGGTGTCCGGGTGAATTCTGGGTGGTTTTCGGGGGTTATTTTGGGGTGGTTTTGGCGGGGTTTCGGGGGTCGCTTTCGGGGTTCTTGGGGGAATTTCGGGGCTGTTTTTGGGGGAATTTCGGGGCTGTTTTTGGGGGCTCCTCCCGGGGGGTTTCGGGGTTCATTTGGGGCCGGCTCGGGGGGGGTGGTTCGGGGTTATTTTCTGGGGGGATTCCGGGGTTATTCCAGGTGGGATTTCGGGGCCCTTTTGGGCCGTTTTGGGGTCCGAGCTGTCCCGGCCCGAGCCCCCGGTGCCGCTGCCCGGAGCGGGGCCGTTCCGGGCCGGGGTTTTTGGGGCGTTCGGGGTTTTTTTG